TTGCATTTAGGATCCGTGTTTTATTCTATATCTGCATTCTATAACGTATTCTATTTTCTATAATTTCTAAGGCATCTGCTTATCATAGGTAGCCCTCCACTTGAAAGCATTTGTTGAGTGAACGTTTAAAGTTACAATTTGAGGGACACGGTGGCTCAGTGGCTAAGCTTGTCGATCAGAAAGGTCGACGGTTCGAATCCCTAGCACCGCGTAACGGAGTGAGCTCCCGTGACTTGTCCCAGCTTCTGCCAACCTAGCAGTTCGAAAGCACGTAAAAATGCAAGTAGAAAAATAGGAACCACCTGTGGTGGGAAGGTAACAGCATTCCGTGCGCCTTTGGCGTTGAGTGATGCTGGCTACAAATATATGTACTATTAGAGCAGTGCATTTATGAGCATTTATGCATTCTTTTTTCTTTTCTCTCTTTCCTTTTTCCTTTTTTCTTTCTTTTTCTCTTTCTTTCTCCCTCTTTAGCTTTCTTTTTCTTTCTTTCTTTCTTTCTTTCTTTCTTTCTTTCTTTCTTTCTTTCTTTCTTTCCTTCTTTCTTTCTTTCTTTCTTCCTTACTTCCTCATTATATACAGGTAGTCCTTGACTTAAGACCACAATTGAGCCCAAAATTTCTGTTGCTAAACGAGACACTTGTTAAGTGAATTTTGCCCCCATCTTATGACCTTTCTTGTTACAGTTGTCAAGTGAATCACTGCAGTTGACAAATTAGTGACATGGTTCTTAAGTGAATCTGGCTTCCCAATTGTCTTTTGCTTGTGAAAAGGTCACAAAACGGGATCACATGACTCCCTCGGACACTACAACCGTCATAGATATGAACCAGTGGACAAGCGTCTGAATTTTGGTCACGTGATTATGGGGATGTTACCAGGGTTGTAACTCTGAAAAATGGCCGTAAGTCATTTTTTCCCCAGTGCCGTTGTAACTTTGAATGGTCACTATGTGAACTTTTGTAAGTTGAGGACTATCTGTACTGAATAACAGAGTCAGATCTTGAAGTTCTTCTAGTCAAGCCCCCACCTCAGGCAGGAGACCTTATACCAGTGGTGGTGAACCTGTGGCACGTATGCCGGAATTGGCACGCAGAGCCATCTCTCCGGGCACCCGAGCTATCGCCCGTTGCTCTTCCGGGTTACAGTTTGCCAGCCAGCTGGTCTTCACACAGGCGGGAATAACGGAAACTGGAAGATCAGCCGCCCGGTGCGCATGCACACGACGGGAAGATGACCTCCCAGTATACGTGTGCTCACCAGCCCCCTGGTCTTCTGGATTCTCACGCCTCCATGCACAAAGATCAGCTGGGCGGTGCGCATACGCGCACCACAAACCAGAACATCATCTTCCTATCACAGCTGGCTGGCGCACCGGGACCCATAAAAGCATGGTTCACCAACCTTACACCATTTCAGGCAGTATTTCCTTAAGAGCCTCCAGTGATGGAACAGCTACAACTTTTAAAGCACCCATTGATTAATTGTCCCTGAGATCATTAAAACGCTCATTTTAAAGACGAAACCGAAAACCCACCAATTATGTAAGTAGTTGCTTTTGCCCCCTGCAGGGGATTAGCCTAGATGACCTTTACAGGCCCCTTCCAATTATATAATTCTATGACTCTAGCTCGAACGGGTTTGTCCCATCAAGACTTATAACTTCCTGGAAACCTTGTGCAAAAATGCAGGAATGCCTGTCCAGTTTTTACCTTGTTTTGTTTGTATAAAGACTGGAGGTGCAAAACGCTCCGGAGCTCGTTCCTGTTGTTGATGCTGAGCGCGGTACGGGGAAATTCTTCGTCCATCATGATACTTGTCTTCTTTAAGCCCTGGGTAGGAAAGAGATAATGCTATGAATCAGTATTAAAAAATTTATTTATTTATTATTTATTTATTTATTTATTTATTTATTTATTTATTTATTTATTTATTTATTTATTTATTTGTTTGTTTGTTTGTTTGTTTGT